TTCCTTATATATATATTTCTAACGGATTCTTGAGTTTTCCTTGTGTCTAATAATTCTACTGCCTTATTACTCTTTTCTTTCTCGCATAAAAGACTTAAGGTATGATTAAGAAGAAGATTTTGTCTGTTAATCAATGGCTTTATGGTTTATAAAGTTTGTTATAACGACGCTGCAGATCAAAGCTATGAAAATCCATTGGTCTTTCAAAAAGTGGATTTGCTTTATAGAGTTCATGAAGTACGAAGCAAATGTGAGTGTGTAAGTTGGAAATCATTAGCAATCAATCAATTGCTTGCAGAGTCAAGACCTAGTTTGGAATATATATATATATATATATATATAGTCAATTATCAGTCTGATTATGGAACGAAGCAAAAATTTTGAAGTGTCACACATCTATAATAGTGAAGTCTACTTCCCGTCATCATTTTTGCAAGCAAATCTCCGGCCGGTTTAGTGAGAAATTAAGTATTTTGAAAGCACGAAGAATGGCGTCATTTAGGCCATCAATCTCAATATATTTTTCAATCATACATAATGGTCCTTTGATCATTTATTTTACGTCTTTCAAGTTATTTACCCATTTGGAATGAGAGTTTATTTCTTATTAACAACAATGTCCCCACTTGTCTCAGTAAAAAAAAAAAAATTTCGCTAAAAGGGTATCATCATAAAGTTTTACACATTTGGATGAGGAATTCGACTGTATAATCCGCTTCCATGTTTAATTTTCATCTTAATATATATATATATAAACAACCTGGAACATAATCAATCTACACTGCACGTATTAAGTAGTCGAGACGACTTAAGATTTTGTGACACATCAATTCAATATCCATTTATTGATAAATCACAAAGCAATAGTGAAAATTTTATGTCTCCAACCAATAACATGATTTTAATTCTTAAATAAGTTAAACGGAAAAGAAAAAAATTACTTAAGTAGTACTAGCATTCTCCCATCTTAGCTGCCCAATTCTCCAATTGCACGTGCTCACAGCGGACATGAATGTCGCTGTCATAGAATTTATCTCCAAACAAGGCCTATCAAAACCCACACAAACCTTATCCCAGTAACAAAAGTATGCGTGACGTATAGTAGAGAGGGTTTTCGACAAAGAAGCTTTGCCGTTATCAGCGAAAGAACTGAACCATGGCGGCCCTGAGCTGCCATTTTCATTGTGCTATCCAACAACTTCCTCGCAATGCCAGAGTTAGACCTTCCTTCACTTGCTCGGTGCAACCTTCTCAAAGCAATATTAAGGTAATGGTTCACAACCTCATAGAAAACTCGTCCGCTCAAACAGCTCATATAGAAACGTCTTTCTTCCTCATGTGGGGAACAGGTTGTTGTCAATGGAGCAGCAAAGGAAATAGGACGGGCTGCAGTAGTTGCTGTGACCAAAGCTAGAGGAATGGAGGTTGCTGGGGCAGTGGATTCCTATTTTATAGGAGAAGATATAGGAAAGGTTTAAAGTTATTCATTCCTTTCTTGCTTCATGCGCTTTTATCCCTAAATAGTCTCCGGCCTATATATTCAACTTGAAATGGTTTCATTCTCTAAATCAGGTGTGTGATATGGAAGAGCCTCTAGAGATCCCCATAATGAATGATCTCACTATGGTGTTAGGTTCGATATCTCAGGTAACATTCTCATACCACTATCCTTCTCATTTCATATACTAACCTTCATCAGTCCTTACCTTTTGGTCTTCATTGGGTTCTATCAGTCCAAAGAGACAGGAGTTGTTGTTGATTTTACTGAGCCTTCAGCAGTTTACGACAATGTTAAACAGGTTCCGCATCTAGATATATTCTTTTATCAACCTACTTCTATAGACTCAGTGAATAAGCCAGGATGAACCATATTCTGTGTAACCACCAAAAACCAATTATTCTAAAAGTTATACTTGAATAACTGATCATAGTTTTTCTGATCCCCACGCTTTATACTTCTCATAGGCAACAGCATTTGGCCTGAAAAGTGTGGTTTATGTGCCTCGAATTAAGCTTGACACAATATCAGCATTATCTGCATTCTGTGAGAAAGCCAGCATGGTGAGGACAGGGTGAGATATATTTTGATGTCCAATAATTTCTAAAAAACTTTATTGTACTTTGAACAATTGTGCTTATTATTATTAGACAATTTTTTATCTCTATCAAATAACTTGCTGCAATTAGTTTCTAATGAAATATTTCAGGGTTGCCTAGTTGCACCAACTCTGTCCATAGGATCTATTCTCCTCCAGCAAGCTGCCATTTCAGCTTCCTTCCACTACAATAATGTAGAAATTGTTGAATCAAGAGCACATGCAACAGTAAGACATAAGTCCATATTAAAGTTTAATATTTTTTGTAGATTTCATTATAAATGAATGAGATGCAGTAGTAATGGAAGTTATCCAAACTTAAATGAAGTAAACAGGCTTATAATAAACGTGTGATGCAATAAAGTATATATACATAATTTTGAATGTATACTTTCATAACTATCTAAAGTATGTAACTGCAAGATACCCATACCTTGTCAATGATCTGTTGAAGATGCTAAACTTGTCATTGATGACAGGATCTTCCCTCACCCGATGCCGTCCAGATTGCCAACAACCTGTCTAACCTTGGTCAGATCTACAACAGAGAAGACATTGCAACAGATGTCTTGGTAAGCATAGATGCAAATAATGATGTTAGAGCAATTGTGGTGTCAAAATTAGAATTGGCCGCCATTTTTTTATCTTTTCCAATGTCAGTGCTGACAATTAGAAAGTAGGGAAAGACTGGAACTATGGTGTTAAAGCTGAACAAACGAAGAAAAAGAACCTTAAACTATAGTCATGATATTTACCTTGTCAGATATAATTAATATTTGAGCTAACTACCATAAAGAGCTACTAATAAAGCATAGGAAATTTCATCATATTTATTATCTGAGTTTGTCTGATTGGTTTCACACTAGAAGAACTAGAGAAATGGAGAGATGGAGAGAGATTTTCATTGATGAGATTGATGTCCAAAAAAGAATCAACAGAAGCACATAAAACGTTAAACTTTCAATCCTGTTTTAGAATTCAAGAATGATAAGGTGGCTCATTTTTCAATTTTTTCCCTCTTTGTAAGGCAAGGGGCCAATTAATAGGTGAAGATGGGGTGCGTGTTCATAGCATGGTCCTTCCTGGGCTTCCATCTAGTACAACAGTTTACTTCTCTGGCCCAGGAGAGGTATGCTCTCTGGAACAGTCTCTTCCTTGTTATTGATTTTATTAAGCAGTATTAGCTAGGATAGTCTCCTCATTCCCACTCTAATCCACAAGTGCTGCCCTGCTGGCCACAGGTTTACACCATCAAACATGCTATCACAGATGTGCAGTGCCTCATGCCAGGCCTACTCTTGGCTATTAGAAAGGTTGTTCGACTCAAGGTAACTGATTGAAAAATACATATCTTTCTTCAAGCTTGTTCAGCATATCACAAAAGTAAACTTACAGATGTTGTCTTTACTAATTCGGCAGCATCTGGTGTATGGCCTGGAGAAATTTCTGTAGGATCCCATTATTCTTCATTTTTCCTTGGAGTATAACTCAGATCTTGGAAAATCCAGTGGAGAATCATTTTCATCCTGCAGACCAATATTTTCAGAAGGAATAGATGTCATTCTTCCAGCAGAGACATCTACAGAGGAAGATTGCATTAAAATGGAGCAAAAGCAAAAATATTTATGCATTTACTTTCTTTGAGACAAAATCGTTGTAATTTGATCAAATATTTAAGAGACTTCAAAATTGAGGCATGAAAGCAGTTTAGTCAGGGTACTATATATAGATATCACACCAATATTCTCATATGCTCAGATCCATCTTACTGCTTTGAAGTCTAAGGTCAGGAATAACAACATGACTTTTGTTCCTTCACCAAGTCATTCTACCTATAAAACAGCAATTTTAATTCCATAAATTTGTTTCATCTTTAAAAACACCATAATTTTGAGAAAGCAATGTCCCTTCATAGATCAGGAACTATACTGCTCCACAATTGAAAGATTCAACATAAAATAATTTAATATACCTTTCCGGTAATGTATCCTTCATTTTTATAATCAGTTTTGTACCTTCTCCAGCCACCTTTATCGAGACACGACTCATACCTTGTACTAAAACCTCGGAAGAGATTTAGAACTGATTTTCTATTCTTAAATTAACTGTTTCTTTCAATTTCTTAAATTCATGAATAGTATGTTTACCTCTGTCAGGAATAAATAAGTATCTTTGCCATCATAAACCTTAGCCCAACTTATCTTAAATTTCAGATTGCATACAGAAACCAGTAAACTTCAACCAATGAAACCGTCAAATATGAAGAGAAAAAAAAAGGATATGACCATTAGTTATGGAGTTAAAAACAATCTTAAGTTTCAAGCAAGAAAGTTCCATTGGCACAATAACCATGTATTTACAGTTCCAATACCAAAGAGTATTGCAAATTATTATTGCTTGTATCACCTTACCGATCAATACAACTTTATTGGATTCAATGATATTCATACAAATCTTTAAATGATAAGGATACAACGTATATTTCAGTTTCTTGCAAATGAAGCTTATATTTGCTACTTGACAATTTTTTTAGGCTAGATAACATTTCTCCTATATACATTGGAAAGGTCAAAGGACATAAGCCTCTACATAAATCTACAATTTGACAAGCTCTATTTCCATTTCTACATAATCTGGCACTTTTAGATGAATTATCAGTACCTAGATGCAGGGGCTCCAGTATAGGTAAGATTTACAGCTTACAGAATGTAATAAAAGTGCCAAGTTCTTTGTCCTTCTGGCATTTGGTATATGGTTAGGATTCATTTAATTAGAAGATACAGACCAAAATGAGAATTCTTTGTACTATGAACAAATTTGATATCGCAATTAGTGAATGAAGACTCTTACTACATCAAAAGCGAGTAAATGTATTGGTGACTAGGAGCCCACAAAAGCTTTAACTATCTAGGCAAAAGACATGCTGACAAAGATAAAAAAAGGTTAGCACTTTTTAAGGCATTCAACTTGCCAATCATCAAGTCAAAACTGAAACACAAATGCTAATACCATTAGTAAACAGAAAAGCTTGATCACCAAGAATAGACAGTAGCAAACAAACCCATGAGAAGTTGAAAACAGATTCACAAAGACAACGCAAAGTAAATTAATAGAATGAAGGTAAGCCTCACATCCATTTTAAATATATACAAGTGTTCTTAGTTCTTACTTCTAAGTTTGTTTGAAACTGCTCTTATCCAGGCTCTATCTTTATCGCTATATGCATATCTCATGCTTGAAGCCAACAGAACAAAACCTTCAATGCTTCCCATCTCATTGTTGCTTAGGTTTGGATCTAGTAGCACTGGCTGTACCAAGACAGAACGGGTCCCCTGGGGAAGCATCTTCCAGAATTCAGCATCTGAATAAATCTTCATATTAGACCCAGACTGAACAGTTTACAGAACCATAACTGAAAAGGAAAATGTTGCTCTCATATATTAGCAAACATTCAAATTTTAGCACTCACGCAGACACCATTTATTGTTATAAGTTTTCTAGATTATGCCCTACTTCTATCAAACAAATGTTGACTTCAAAAAAAGGTAACTGTCAGGATCATAATACGTTATTTTCCCATTCCATTATGTAAGCACCTGAAGATAGTTTGGGAGAAGGAGGGAGCAACAGTTACAATGTTTCGGTCAGCCAATGGGACTTGAACCAAAGTTTATCAGCACCAACAGACTTTATCAGCAAGCTTCCTAGCCTTGGTGGGTCCAATGAAACACGAAACCAGGCATAGCCACAAAAATCAACAATACAGTCCCTAGTCTTAAGACGTTCTTAGAAGCTAATTATTCATTACTTCAAATATCAGACCGCCACGAAAGACTATTTGCCTTTCAAAAACAAAGGCTAACAATATTATTTACCTCCAGTTTGAGGAAAATAGAGGGTGTCCATCAAATCAGACAGGCCAGTTTCTTCTATGTTACTTTTAAACCAATCCAGTACATTATCTTTTGGTACACCATCTGGCACATTCCAATATCCACGTACACATAATTCACCTCGAGCTAATATCAACTACAAAATTTGAGATAGAAAAATCAGCATACACAAAATTGTCAAAAACTCAAAAGAAAAGTAGCTTTAAATTCCCGCGAGAGAGAGAGAGAGAGAGAGAGAGAATAGAGTAGTTTTATCAGTGGGATTTTTACCACGGAGGTGGTGTTCGTATTTCGCAATAAAACATATGTTGCCCAAGCCAAGTCTTCCTTCTGAGCAACCGACACATTTTGTGACATGACAAAGATTTGCTCAGCGCCTTCAGGCAGAGTCGCTGGATCTATTGGAGTTGCACCCTATGCAACATGTTCGTACAAACTTTAACTCTAAACTTGATTTCAGAATTGAACATAAAATTTGAATAATAAAAATTATTACCTTGAGAAATTTACCAAGGTAAGGAAGTGTAACGGAAAACGCAGCCAATGAAATACCTAAACCCTCCGACCTCTACACCAAAAGAGAGAGAGAGAGAAATTAAAATCAACAAATTTAAAATTGCAAAAAGGATGGAGAAGGCAAATTACCAGCTGCGCCGCGGTGACGGAGTCGGATCCAAACAAGTGGTTCAAAATGAGAAAGGAACCGAACCCGTACCCGATCCATCTAGGTAAATAGGATTCGTCCAACCCAGGTATACCCAGAGTGAATCTAAGAACAGAGAGATTCAATTGTTTCTGGGAATTGTCCAACCGAGCGGAGATTGATGCGAATTTTGGGCAAAATCCAAGAGGGGTTTTCAACTGAAGTATTGGATTGAAAAGGAGGGTTTTAGTCGTTGGTATCACCATTTTCTTTTCCAGAGAATTGAATTGAATTAACGGTAGAGAATTTCAAAAGCAAAACGCACATAACTTGGGTCGGATTGGTTTGGGTTCCAAAATTTCCTTTCAGTATTTGGGCTGTGGCAGATATCTGAGTGTTACATTGATACATTGATCGATATTTGGGCTAAAACGAATCCTGGCCGAGAGCTTGCCTTTTTATTACTCAATTCGACTTCATGTCCGAATCATTAGTATTATTTTAATACTCGGGCAAATTTTAGTGCGTTAAATTATACCTCAGAAGTTTGACCAAGGAATTTTCTTATATTATACAAGCATTCTGATTAGCAAACTTTTTCTATTATCTAAAATTTATTTATGGATTTATATATGAATATTAAAGAAATTTTTGATTGATAAAAACATTTATATTATTTAATATATCACTAAATTATCAATTTAAATATTTTTTATTTTATTAAGACTAAAAAGATTCATCTTGACTTGTAAATATATATATACATATACATAATTTTTTTTAAAGGAGAACTTTTATTATATTCTTATAATGCGAGATAGGCAAAGTCCAAGACATCATGAAACAACAAATCTTTAACATTCCTAGGAGCGCTAATGTGGGTTACAAATTTCTCCTTAATTGCAAAACCATTATTAGTCATGAAATCTACAGCTTTATTCCCTTCCCTATAAACATGCCGTGGAACTATTGACCAGTGACGTCGTAGATGATGATGAGTAGCTTGAAGTAAATCTGAGTTAGAGCGGGGACGTGACACCGTGGACTTGATAGCTTGGACAAGAATTTTATTGTTAACTTGCATATCAACCTTACTAAATCTCAAGTCCCACGCCAATAGAAAGCCTTTGTAGACACCCCATAATTCTCATTGTATGCCGTACATTTTCCAAGTTTGAGGGAGAAGTCGCCTTTCCAATTATCATGGGCATCCCGAATAACCTTTTCAGCAGCTGCTTTATCTGTTGAAGTCCGGAATGCACCATCAACATTAAGAGTGATCTAGTTTGGATTGGGAATCTACCATCCAATTAATTGCTTTTCGCTAGACAAAGAAACTGAACTATTGTTTAGTATGTTAGTTGTACAGGCTGTATGTATGTCTGTCGCCCGGCTACGTATTAGAGGTAGATGACCTTCTATTGGAAGCCATTTTTCTTCGAATATGAAAGAATTCCTCCACTTCCAAGCAAACCAACAAGTGACCTCCAAATAAAATATTCCATGGTATATTATTTACCAAAATTTTGGTACTGTTCAAATTGAAAGACAATCAGTTAATGTAACAAAGTAGATTCAAAGAATCTACCTTGACGATTCTATGGTAGGAGTTTGGCCCAGAGTGAAGTAACTAAGGAGCAATGCCGTAACACATGCAACGTTGATTCTGCATCCAAGCGACCGAATGAGCAAGCTGGATCACGTGCAATATGTCTTTGAACCCGTTGCTTGTTTGTAAGCAAAGAAAGAGGAATGTACGAATTCATTCTAGACCATTCCATTTCCAAGCTAGATTCCATAAACTGCTACTATTATGATGGATCACATCTGCCATCTCTCTTAATTATGGAGACATATGCCGAAGATACTATAGATAAACCTGAAGAGGAAGGTATCTAGAAAACGCCTATCCGGTTCTAAGATGGGTGTAAGAGTAAGGGTTTCAGCAAGAAGATTAAATTGTTCTGTTGATAGCAAATTAACCACACAAGTAAAATCCCATTCACTATTTGGGAGAATGAATTCTCTAACACTGCTGGTGTCTTCCACCATTTTCCTTATCGTCATTGTAGCTGAAGCTAAAGAGTAATCACAAAGCCATTTATCAAACCAAAATCTCGTTGTTATTCCATCACCAATAGCCCACCGAATATTGACTGTAAATTTAATCCAAACCTTATTACTGGATACCCAAAAAGCAGATGCCCCAGCTTTATGTATACTATCCAAGATTAAGGTCATTCCCAAATTGTATTTGTGCCTTGCCACCATAAAGCATCAGTTTTGGACACTACAAGAAAACTGATTTTTTCCAGCGAAAAATATTTCATTGGAAATTTTTAACGAAAATTTATTTTAATTTTTTTCAACAGATTTTCGACTGATTTTCAACGAAATTTTTCTAATTGAAAAATTCAATTAGAAATCGATCGAAATTTTTTTTGATGCAAAAAAAAAATTACTCCGGTCAAACTTTCCAATGGAATTTTCAACGAATTTTTGTTGGAATTTTCCAACAAAAAATAATTCTTTGGAAATCCATCGGAAAATTTAAGACTTCAAAAAAATTTACTCCCATCAGACTTTTTAACAGAATTTTCGACAGATTTTTAATGGAATTTTCCAACGGACAATAATCCGTTGAAAATCCGTCGGAAAGTTTAGGAGCTAAAAAAATTTAAAACTCGCTAAATTTTTAATGAAATTTTCAGTTGGAATAAGCCATTACCAATGAAAATTTTCTAATAGAATATTTTGTTGGACAATTCTATCGATATTACTATTTTTTTTATTTTAAATAGATTAATATTTTAAAAAAATTTTATTAATCCTTTAAGGTAATATATTAATAATATTAAATATATACATACTGAGATTTATAATATTAAAAATATAAATATATTTCTCTTTGTTTATTTTTTTATATATTTTGTAAACTTTATTGAATCATAAATTAGAAATTAATTGCTCAAAATTCATTAATGTTATAAAATTAAAAAGTTTATAAAAACAATGTAATAAATTTTTTTAATTTTATTAAAATAGTGGATAAAATCTAGTAATATATTGAAAAAAACTAATAATACTTTATTAGATATGTACTAATATTAGTTAGTATAAATTAAGAAAATAAGAAAACTGATATATATAATAAATTTATTAATATAATATATTTAAAATATATTAATTTGTTATGTGTATCCAAATTATATATATATGTAATTATATATAAACATGTATTAATATGTTATTTATTTTAAATGGTATAACTTTATAAGTTAATATATATATGTATGAGATATTAAATATCCTATATATAATTACATGTATTAAAAAAATAATCCACACTAACCCACTAAATCTCTTTCAAAATGCACCGTTTGGTGCTTTAAACCCTCTCTAAGTGAAGTGATTTGAGCCTAAATTTGCTCTTCCCTCACCCCTCCAAAACGACGTCGTTTAGAGATCATTACACCTTGGTATAAATCCTTTTTTTTTCTTTATTTTCACCTTTCCTTTCTCTCTCTAGCCGTACCTTTCCTAACTTCTCTCTACTTTTCCTTTTTCTTCCTTGTTTCCTCTCCCTTCTTTCTTCTTTCCTACGTTGGCAGCCCTTCTTTTTCCTCCCTATTACCGGCGTCTCTCCCTCTCCTTTCACCGATAACCCTTCTTTTTCCTCCCTATTATTGGCGTCTCTCCCTTTCCTCTCACTGACAGCCCTTCTTTTTCCTCCCTATTACTGGCGTCTCTCCCTTTCCTCTCACCGGCAACAACATCCCAAGAAACCCGAATCCCAACTGACGGTACCTCTCCAAAAACTCTAAACTCCAACCGGCGACACCTTTTTCTCCCTCTCTCTCTTACTCCAGCGACGCACCCAAATCCTCCCTCTCTCTTCCGTCGGTAACACTTTTTTAATTTTGATTTAATTTATTTATTTTTTTTATTTTATTTACGATGTCTACAAATATGTCATTTTTAATTGGAAAATAACTTTTTTTTTTGTGAAACAGTGGCATTTATTTGTTTAATTTTTTTTGTCGAATGAGTATTCTGAACCGTGGGCTCTGGAATGAGTATTCTGAACAGTGGGCTCTGGCATGTGGAGAGATCTTGCGGATTCTTTACATTTGGTAACAATTGATAGTCTTTGTTTATAAAACAAAGTTTACAATTGATAGTCTTTGTTTATAACAATTGATAGTCTTTGCTTATGATGGCAAGTTGGTATATTTAGTATATGTTTATAAAACGTATAATTTTTTATATTAAATTATTTAATATATATGTATGTATAATTTTATTTATATAAAAATATTTAATTTTATGTGTAATGAATTTTTGATAGAATTCTACGAAATTTTTATTGAAAATTTTTAACGGAATTTCGTTTCATAAGAATTTTTAATGAAATTTTCGTTAAAAATTTTCAATAAAATTGCTTTAACACAATGAATGGATTATGCACTTTTTTCGACGAAATTTTTAGACAGAATTTTTCGTTGAAAATTTTCGACGAATTTTCAATGAAAAGTATTTTCAACGATGTTTTTACTGACGAAATTTTTAACTAATTTTTTTATTGAAAATCCGTTGAAAAAATATATTTTCAACGAAATTTTAACTTTTTTTAATAAAAAATTTCATCGAAAAAAGTATGTTTTTTGGTAGTGGGAGACTTAAGTTCCAATAAGCGTTTAGTTAAAAAGTGTTATTCATCTTTCTCATGCAGCGCATACCCAATCCTAAGTCATCTTCGGGGCGACAAATGTTTTGCCATTTCATCCAATAAATTTTATGGGTAGTACTATCACCACTCCAAAGAAAGTTGTGACATAGCTTCTCAATCTTTTTGCATGTTCTTTCAGGAAGAGAAATTGTTTGCATGGCATGACACGGAACCATTGAGAGCACCAACTTCACCAATGTGAGTCCACTTGCAAACGACAGGGCGTAAGCTTTCCATGAACTCAGTCTACTGCAAATCTTTTCTCCCAAGTATTTAAACAAGAAATATTTTTTTCACCCATGTAGAAGTGGGACACCCAATTTATCTACTTTGTAAATAATAATTCAAGTTGAATTGAATGCCTTCATTAAAAATTTACTAGTGTGAATAATTTATAGATTAATATTATAAGTTTTTAATTATATGTAATTAAAAAATTAATTTTTTATATATAATTATCTTTTATTCAAAAAATTTTATACTTTATGAATATTTATATTTTATATATAATAATTGCATTCGAACATTTTACTCATTGATTAGTGTATTATTTCCTTATTTAAAAGAGTAGAGTTCGAATCTCCTCTCTCCCAATTATAAAAAAAAATAAAAAATAAATTTTATATATAATAATTATTCAAATATTTACATGCAATGCACTTGATAATTAATAATAATATATATAAATACAGAATATATAAATAT